TTTTTTTTTTTTATCTGTTTTAGTGATAACAAACAGAACACTATGCCCCGAGGAGTATATCATTTTTACTGAAGTGTTTATAATTGTATATGCTTTCTCTGAGAAATAAATATATTTTTCTTTGGAAATTGGTACATATACCAATGACGTCATGTTTAATGGCTGAAAAGTTTCAGTAAATCAATTGATAACACCCAGGGAGAGGAGTGTATGATGCGATAGTTTCTGATTGGCACTTTAGTTGATTGCTACCATTCCATTGACCACCATTTGCCTCTGTGTGGCCATTTTTGTAATTTTAGATATTTGGGGTTTTTTGGGTTTTGGGAGGAATTGAACTGGCCCTTGCGCTTGCCGGGGAAGCGCTTATTCCACCGAGCCATCTCCCCGGCCCCTGTAATTTAGACGTTTCTATCAGCATTCCCACCACCTGACGTTCATGAAATGATAATTCTGTCACAACTTTTGTGTCTTTCAGCATGTAGTGCGCTGCAGAGCTGCCGTGGTCCGCGTGTGTGACGCAGCCTTTGTGGAAGCTAACCCAGCGGATCCCGCGCCGATGGCCAGCACGCGTTGCAACAAGGTGAGACTGCAGGAGCCAAGGGACCCATTACCCCTGTGGTTTTTTCCTGCTTTTCATTTTGCATTTTTCTGCTGCCTCTTTTTCTTTTTTTCTTTTTTGTGCATTACAGGGATTGAACTCACAGGACCCAGCACTTATGAGGTGGGCGCTTATTCTGCTGAGCGCTCTCTCTGCCCTACTGCCCTTTTTCAGTTATTCCTCCTTGATTATCTTTTCCTTATATCATTGAGTCCTATTTCGTTAATTGATTGTTTTTGATGTTCTGTTTTGCTACGTATATTTCTTCAAGGCTATATATGTAACTGAATGTGTTTTTTTCCCCAAAACATTAGTTAATTCTACATGTTTCTATTCATTTCATGACTTTCTGTTGAAGCTGTAATTTCATAGTGTATTTTTCCCCTGTCCTGCTGCTGCCCCCGCGGACTCCCAGCGCTGCTTGGAGGCTGCCCTGGCTGTGCAGTTGGCTCAAGACCTGCCCAAAGCACTCGTGGGACCCTGTGTGAAAGCCCCAGCGTGCTGTGCGTGGGAACAGTGTAGCGTGCTTGGGGTGGCTGACACCCAGCCTGGGCCACAGCAGGAAGTGGGGAGCTGCCCTCCCGGCACTTGTGCTGCTTCGTTTTAACAGTCCGCATAATGTTGGTATTTTACAATGGAGAGAGCTATCACAACAGAATGTTTTGTAAATGATTATTTTGTGGCGAAACATTTCTTGCTTTATAAACGAAGTACATCTGATACCTTGTCTCAATAGTTCTGAGTGCTTTGGAAATGAGTTTTAATTACACTTCTGAAGGGTGTACCTTTGCCACTAAAGCCCCCTACACACATATATCCTTGAGGTAGATATGTATGTTTCTATCTGAGTAAATATGTGCTGTTCACTACTTCAGTTGCGGGGTTTCATAAGTTATGTGCAGCTCTGTGCTAGCTTTCTGGTTTTTGTTTTTTTTTTTTTTTGTGTGGAACCGGGGATAGAACTCAGGCCCTTGCGTTTGCCTGGCAAGCGCTTATTCTACTGAGCCATCTCCCCGGCCCCTTCTATGCTAGCTTTCTACTGATGCAGTCTGCTAAGTTGCCGAGTTCTGATCTTTAAGTTGTGATCCCTTTTCGTTAGTCTCTGGAGAAGTAGAGTTTGCAAGTGTGTAGCATCATTCTCGCCTCCAGTTTTTATTCAGTAGGAAATAAGATGTATGTCTTTTTTGTTTGTTTCTTTGGTTTGTTTTTGGTTTTGGTATGGGGAATCAAACTGAAGACCTTGTGCTTGCCAGGCACATGCTTCTGCCCTTAAGCTGTATCTCTGGCACCATGTCTTGATTTTTGCTGTGATGTACACATTAGAAAGTATAGAGGAGCATAAACAAAGTTTCTAAACATAATAGGGTGACAATGGTTAATACATTAGGCATTTTTATCTTCATATTAGTTACTGAGTATAAGATATAGTCATTTAATTGTCCAAATATGCCGCCAGCCCAGTCTCGGTCACTTAACTTGTCCCAGGGGCGGCGCGGGGCAGGGCGGCACAGCACAGCGGGAATCAGACCCCTGGCCCCTGCGTCTGCCTATGCAGGCGCTTTAATCCTCTGAGCTATCTGGCTGGCCCTCAGATCTTTCTTTTTAATAAACTAAGTAAGAGAAGTTAGTAATGTAACTTAACTATCTTTTACACACATACGCACACACACGTATGTATGTATGTATGTATGTATATGTATTTTTCTCCATTCTTCTATCCCAGTTTCACTTTCCTTTTGAATTTTTTTTCCGTTTTGCAGTACTTCTTGTACGCTTTGGATCTTAACAGTGGTCCCTCACTTATGGAGTTTACGTTCCGGACACCCCCGCAATAAGCGAAAATCACTTTGTAAACTCTTCCCACACTCTATAGACATTTCCCACACTTTTAAAAACAGTTCTAATGTTTTTTGTTTTTTTTTTGCGGAACCGGGGATTGAACTCAGGCCCTTGTGCTTGGCGGGGAAGCACTTATTCCACTGAGCCATCTCCCCGGCTCCTCTAATGTTCTTAATCATTTTCTTTTTTTTTTTTTTTTTGTATGTAGTACGGGGTCTATAGGGTTTCACTACGCAGATCCGACTCGTAGTGATCCTCCAGTTTTCAGCCTCCCAAGCACAGGGATTAGGGTTTCACTACACAGATCTGACTCGTAGTGATCCTCCGGTTTTCAGCCTCCCAAGAACTGGGATTAGTCTTATTCACCATCTCAGTGTGTCCCAGAGGGTGGGCCAGTTTTGAATTGTTTTTTATTTATTTATAATTTTTTGTATTTTAGGGAAGGGTCTACAGGTGTTCAGGGTCTCACTACTAGATCAGACTCGTAGTGATCTGCCTGCTTACAGCCTCCCAAGAGCTGGGATTACAGACAGGCACCACCACACCCAGTCTCAATTGCCGTCTCAGAGCACCCCGGTGATGGGGTCTGCATGGCAGGCTTGGGGATCAAACCCCTGGCTCCTGCGCCTGCTTGCATGTGCTTTAATGCGCTGAGCTATTTGGCCAGCCTTGAACTGTTTTTTTTAGGGGAGGTTTATTTTTTGGTTTTGGTGCTGAGGATGGAACCCAGGGCTTCCAGCTTGCTAGGCAAGCGTTCTCTCCCTTTTTTTTTCCTCTCGAAGGCCCTTGTGCTTGCCAGGGAAGCACTTATTCCACTGAGCCATTTCCCCGGCCCCAAGGTGAGCATTCTACCGCCGAGCCAAATCCCCAGTCGTGATGACAGGCGTGCACCACCATGACTGGCCCGATTCATGAGTTCTTTGTATTGTTTGATGTGAATTTCATTGATGTTTCACGCATGTCTTCATACATTTTCTTGTTAATGTCTGTTTCACACCGAATTGCTGGTGTCTCCTCAGTGTTTCAAGTTCCTCATGCTATTCCTAAGTGTGCTTGCTCTGCTTTCCTGCTGTGAGCAGTAAGTGCACAGTGTGTCCTCACAGGGGGCTCTCCTGGTGTCCCAGAGCTGCAGGCGTGCTGCACGGGTGGCCACGAGCTCCCGGGAAGTTTCAAGT